TACTTGAGTCTGGGATGTGTAGTTAATGTAGCTGTTGTCTGTAGGATCCCCTTCCTCATTTGTTGCAGAAGATGGAAGATGTATAATGAATGAGGCAGGGGATTGCAGGAGAAGAATGGTCTTGTGGTCTTATAGTTTAGGTAGTTGAGTGCTGTCCTGGAGAATTAGCTTCTATCTCTACTCGATGCAGAAATTAGTGTGTGCGGTTCTTTAACTTGTCTTATGCTGGATGTCCAACTAGATGATCCTGATGGTCCCTTTTGGCCTTAAAATCTATGCATCTCAGAAACAATGGAAAGATTTATTTAACATGGGAAAAACAATGTACTGTATATACTCGATCATAAGCCGGTTCGTTTATAAGCTGACCCTCCCCCCCCCAAGATGGATAAGTAAAAATGGAAAATTTTTATGACCTGTTCATAAGCCGACCCTATAATTTAGGGGTCAGCAAACTTTGGCTCCCGGGCCATCAGGATAAGCCACTGGCGGGCCGAAATGGTTTGTTTACCTCGCGTCCGCAGGCATGGAGGTAAACCTAAGTAAACAAAGTGTCCCAGCGTGCCAGCTGCTTACCCTGACGGGCCGGGACAGCAACTGGTGGGACATTTTTGGGGGGCGAGAAGCCTGAGGCAGGTGCTAAGGCATAGAAAATTTCACACTGCATGGTTAAAGTTTGGCAAAGTTTTAGGCAACTGAAAACAGTGTCTTATAATGGAAACTGTCAGGCAACCTTAAGTATATTACTGAATTATCTATAATGATGTCTTAAATGGTTATATAGCCTTCATCTTGATGAATTTCAAAGTGCTTTATTATGATCTATTTATACAGGCAGAGTGGTCCTTACCATCTTTTTGATACTAAGAGACAGCTATAGAACCTGTCAATTTAATGTCAGAGCAACCAGTAAGTAATTTATAATGACAGTAAGTAGAATGAGAGGGAACCATATGCAACTTAACTATGTGTCACAGGCTTAAAGCCATCTTTGTACAGTATTCCCAGTTCTTTTCTACAGCTGGAATGCCATGCTCAATAAAGATACACAACAGGTTAACACAGGAAATTAAGAATATTGTATTCAGTTGAAATTCAGTGGGAATTTAGGTTGGAGAAAAGTTAGTGCAGGTACAGTCCCATATGTCACTGAAACATATTCATTCCGGTTTTCTTTGCTTCCTATGGAAATAATGACTTCTGATTTTTAATTGAAACAAGTTAACAGCATAACATAGGCTTGATCCTGCAAACACTTAAGCAAATGATTAGTTCCATTGAAATCAATGGGATTGCTCACGTCGTTATTCATGAGTGAGTTACAGCAGCCTTAAGAGGTCCATCTCTAGCAAAGATGCAATTTCTGCTTCCCAAAAAAAGTTAGCTACACGCCTCTCTCTTTCACTGCCCCCCACCATATCTGCTGTTGCTATTGCTGTCAAATGGTCTGAAAAAAAGTAAGTGAGAATGAGGGGGAGCAAGTCATAATCTGGGATCAGTGTAGTTGTAGCCGTGTTGGTCCCAGGTTATTATAGAGACAAGGTGGGTGAGGAAATACCTTTTATTGGATGAAATTCTGTTAGTGAGAGAGACAAGCTTTCGAGCCACATAGAGCTGCTCTTCATGTTGGGGAAAGGAACTCCCAGCGTCCCAGCAAAATGCAACTGCTAGCAGCAAATATCTGATCTGCGAATGCTGGCAGCAAATATCTCTAATGGCTGGTGATAGAACAGTAGATGGGGAGGGCTCTGAGTTACTACAGAAAATTCTTTCCCAGATGTCTGGATGGTAGGTCTTGCCCACATGCTCAGGGTATAACTGATCACCGTATTTTGGGTTGGGAAGGAATTTTCCTCTGTGTCAGATTGCCAGAGACTCGAGTTTTTTTGCCTTCCTCTGCATCATGCTGTATGGGTCACTTGTGGGTTTAAACCAGTGCAAATGGTGGATTTTCTGTAACTTGAAGTCTTTAAGCCATGATTTGAGGACTTCAATAACTCATCCAGAGATTTGGGGTCTGTTACAGGAATGAGTCGGTGAGGTTCTGTGTCCTGCAACTTGCAGGTCAGACGCTAAATGATCATAATGCTCCCTTCTGATCTTAAAGTCTATGAGTCTATGCAAGGTGGAAAAGATTGTTTAGCATAAGTAGTTAGCACATATTGTAAGGGACCATTCAAGATAGGGTGGCCTGTTAACACCTCTGCAGGCAAAGGACAAATATATGGGGATAGTGGGTTGTTGGTTGTTGTGACAAGCTATAATTCCAGTGTCTCTGTTCAGTCCATGGTTTTTGGTGCCTAACAGAGTAATGAATTCAGGATCCCAGGCTTGTATTTTGAGAGTGTTGTGCAGGGTTTCCTTTGAGGATGAGAACTGAGAGGTCAGATACAGAGTGATCACTTTGTGAAAGGTTTCAGACTGGTAGCCATGTTAATCTGTATCAGCAAAAAGAATGAGGAGGACTTGTGGCACCTTAGAGACTAATACATTTATTTAAGCATAAGCTTTTGTGGGCTAAAGCCCACTTCATCAGATGCATGCAGTGGAAAATACAGTAGGAAGATAGCTATATATACAGAGCACATGAAAAAATGGGTGTTGCCATATCAACTCTAATGAGACTAATTGATTAACGTGTGCTATTATCAGCAGGAGAAAAAAACTTTTGTAATGATAATCAGGATGGCCCATTTCAAACAGTTGACAAGAAGGTGTGAGTAACAGTAGGGGGGAAATTAACACGGGGAAATAGTTTTTAGTTTGTGTAATGACTCATCCACTCCCAGTCTTTATTCAAGCCTAATGTAATGGTTTCCAGTTTGCAAATTAATTCTAGTTCTGCAGTTTCTCGTTGGAGTCTGTTTTTGAAGTTTTTTTGTTGGATAATTGCGACTTTTAGGTCTGTAATTGAGTGACCAGGGAGGTTGAAGTGTTCTCCAACTGGTTTTTGAATGTTATAATTCTTGAAGTTTTTCATGTTCATATATATATATACAAATTTATTTGAGCATAAGCTTTCGTGGGCAAAAGCCCACTTCATCAGATGCATACAGTGGAAAATACAATAGGAAGATATATCGATATATATATCAATATATAGATAGATAGATAGCCTATTATATATATATATAGATATCTTCCTATTGTATTTTCCACTGTATGCATCTGATGAAGTGGGCTTTTGCCCACGAAAGCTTATGCTCAAATAAATTTGTTAGTCTCTAAGGTGCCACAAGTACTCCTCATTCTTTTCACTTTGTGAGAAGTGTTTTCCCACAGGTGATGTGGCGTTTTTGTCTTTTATCATTTTCCTGTGAGAGTTCATTTGAGAGCATAGTGATTTTCTGGTTTCACCCACAGAGTTGTTATTGAGGCATTTAATGCACTGGATGAGGTACACCACATGTGATTGGCATATGTAGGATCCATGGAACTTAAAAAATGTGTTGTAGGGGGGTGTTGAACGTCGTTGCAATGGAGATATGTCTGCAGGTTTTGCATCTGTTGTTTTGGCAAGGGTCTGGTGCTGCTTTAAGTTCGTGTGCCCTGGTCTGTGGGGAGCTTACTTCTGATGATGTGCTTGGAAGGGTTGGGGGCAGAAGTGGAGGTTAAGGAAAGATTTCTTTCAGGATGGGGTCTCCATCGAATATGGGTTGTAGTTGTTTGATGATACCTTTTATGGGTTCCAGTGTGGGGTGGTAGGTAACAATTACAGGTGTGCAGTCAGAGGGGCTTTTATTTCAGTATTGAGGAATGTTCTCTTGGGGTGTTTGGGTGGCCCATTACATGATGCGATCTACTTCTCTGGTGGAGTGCCCTTGTTTGGTAAAGATGGTTTTAAATGTGTTAAGGTGTATATCCCGGACTTTGTCTTTGGAACATATTCTATGGTATCTGAGGGCATGGCTGTAGATATGATTTCTTGGTGTGTTTGGGGTGCACAGGATCTATGAATTTAGGTTTTGTGATCCGTGGGTTTCTTGTATGTGGTTGTCTGTAGAGTTCCATTGCTGAAGCTGATTGTGGTGTCCAGGAAGTAGAGAGAAGTAGCTCATGTGATGGAACAGGTGCTTAAAGTGCTCCCCTCAGTGACCCAGCTAGATTTTTACTGTATTACGTTTTTGCCATTTTAAGCACTGAAGTCTTTAGCTAATCTTGAGACTAATTCTCTGGTATAACTAAATATTACTGTTCACATTTTACAGCTGAGGAAACAGAGTCAACGAAGGTTGAATAACACATTGTCAGACCCAGGAGTGGAACTCAGGAGTGCCTACATTCCACTCCTGTGGTCAGTTCACTAGGCCACTGGGTGTCTGGATAATATAAACTACTTTATTACAAGGAAATATCTGTCTATCAGAAATATTTCAAATGCACCCATCATAGTACCTAAGCATTGGTTTGAATTTTGTTTGGGGCACATATATTATTCATATTGTTGGTATTTGAATTCATAATGATTCACAAAATGAGTTTGTATTAATTGTCTGCATATTTTGAAGTATTAATGTATTCAACAGCAATAATTTAGAAGCTAATTAATATCTGACATGATATTGATGAAGGTATTCTTTTTGACTTTGGTCCTGCAAACACTTACATATGTGCTTAACTTGATTACTATGGGTAATCCCATATCAATGGAACTACTCACAGTAGTAAAGTTAAGTATATACATATTTGCAGAATCGGGGACTTTATCAGGATATATTATTTTTAAGATAATATGGTTTCTTTAAAGAAAAACACAATAGAGACATATGTTCTGTGTTCCAAATTTTTCACCCTTGAAGTTTTTAGTTTTGCATAGTTAATTTTACATTTCACAAAAGATGTGTCCTTATTACATTATATATTTACATGCATGCACATTATTTCTTTGGCATTCAAGTAAATGTCCACTGTAGCAAAATGTTTTTGTACTAAATCTGAAGAACTGCAAACAAACAGACTTTGTAATTTATCAGCTCTAATTTCCCTAATTTTCATTTCAGACACAAGTGAACCCCATCAATGTCACTCCACCAATAGAAGCTATAGATCAGGACAAAAACATCCAGCCTCCTTCCGATCGACCACGCATCCTCTATTCCATCCTACTTGGTTGGTATCTGCTAATCTTGCTATCATTCATAGTCAGTCATTGTATTAGGATCAGGCAGAGAAAGACTAAGTGGGAAAGCTGAAACATAATAAAAGATTCATGTTGTAGTTGGTAGATATCATTGTTCTGTTCAACAACATTTTTATTGCAGTTCTGGTATTTTATTCCATTTTGGACTGTTAACTATATTGTTATTTATTTAGATTAGATTGAGAATCTTCTGCTTCATCCAGTAAAAATAAGGAAGCCGTCAAGGAAGGAAAATATGGAACATGCTTATCCACACCCTCAGTTAGACTGTGTTCCAATTCTGTTGAGGAATAGCTAGGGAAGAAAATAATAATAATCCTTGGCTCTTACTCACAGGCACAAACACATACTAAGTCTTTGTCTACATTACAAATGCTTTGCTGGTACAGATATACTGACAGAGTCCCACATTGTTGATGAAGGTTATTCCGACAGGAGTTTTGTCGGCGTAATAACACTGCTTCCTTGAATGACATTAGGTAGGCCCACAAAAGCACTTTGATTTCTGCATAACTATTTCCACATTGGGGCATAAGTGCAGGAACTAGGGGTGCTGGGGGTGCTGCTGCACCTCCTGGCTAGAAGTGGTTTCCATCATATACAGAATTCAGTTTGGTTCAATGGCTCTCAGCACCCCCACTATACAAATTGTTCCAGCAACCCTGCAGCTGGGGTTTTTGCCAGCATAACTGTATCAGATAGGGAGAATGGTTTACAAAACTTTGTAGTGTAGTGTAGAAATTGTCAGGGGATGGCAACTAGGGTAAGTTTCCTTCTAAAAGCTAAATCTGAACTTTTCTGCTCAGAGAAATTTGGTGTCGTCTTGGTGTCGTCCACCTACTCTTTATTTTGTTGTTTTTAAGGTTGTAGCCTGCCCCTTCTCCTCCCTTGCATCAGATTGTCTTCATTGTCCATGGTCTCTTCAAGAAGGAGTTCATGGAGACACCCCCTCTTTCTTTATTGTGGGGGACTTATACTGTGCCATTTGACAGGTTTCAGAGTAGCAGCCGTGTTAGTCTGTATCCGCAAAAAGAACAGGAGTACTTGTGGCACCTTAGAGACTAACGAATTTATTTGAGCATAAGCTTTCATGGGCTACAGCCTACTTCATCGGACTGTGCCATTTAACACTCTCCTTCTCCCTTTTGGACAGATAGGAACAAGTTTCCCCAATTTTTCTATGGGCTGATAGGAAAAAGAGCTAAAGCACTGATTGACCATCCCCAGCCAAACCTGCCCTCCCCACAACATACAAAGTCCAAGGACATACTCCCCTCTGTGAGATTCCTTTGATCCACCTTCCTGGAAACTGAGAGATTATAGTGTTCACAGAAACACAGGTGTCCCATGCAATTTGCTTTTATAACCATCAGGTGACTGGGTTTCTTTAGGGGAAGAGAGAAGGGTGAGGGTGGTGCAGTTTTAAAATTCAAACTTGTAATGGGAAGATAGCTTACCATTAGAACATAATAAAGCACACAAAAGTAGACCCTATTTTGAGTCTCTAAGGGGGGGGAGGGGATTAAACAGTAATTTTAGTAGTAGTCTTTATTTTTGCTTTTTTCTTCAAAAAGGAACCTTTTTAGGTCTTAAATGTGCCTTTTCTTTTGCTGGTATGCACTACTTTATAGCTTGCAAACTCTGCTACTGGGTATTTTAAATAACTTCTCAAGAAGCACAATGATACACACTGGTGAGTTTGAGAGCCTTCGTCTGGAAAGGAGTGGAAGTAGATTATTCAGCGAATTTAGTAAGATATATGAGAATGCAGGTTGATATGCTAAGTTTTTGGAGAAGTATTTCAAACATATAATTGAAATGAATTATCTGTTGGTCCTTCCTTTCAGCTGTTTCTCATCACATGGAATTTCCCCCACTGTAAACCAAAATGTACAACTCCCACATAGACATTGTAAGATTTCACTTTAGTTTTATAAATTACTTAAACTAGAAGTGCTGAACTACAAAGTGAGAGAATATGCTATTTTTGACTAATTAGATAATAATTGAACATTTTATAAGTTTCCTACATTTTTTTCTTGTGGTCTATTGAGTTACAGTCCTACATTTGTACCATGACGGGTTGAGTTACAGTATGCAGTTAGGTCGCCCTGACCATTATCCAAGTTACTGTGTTCAAATAAAAATTCACCTAATTTTCCAGTTAGAACTAAGAGTTATTAGGAGATAAGAATCACATGCTTCTCTGAGAGAAAAATTAAGTCCTCTTGCTTTACGGTATGTTTTTACTACAGATTTAACCTGGGCTCTTACTTGGGTGTTGCTCCCAAATCGCTTCTCAGTCCCACACACAAGCTTTTGAGCAGAATTTAAGGGTGCTTTTAAATCAAACTAGCTGACTCACCCTAGGGTAAAGGCTAAAGTCTACAGAACTAAACTCCACAGTATAGCACTGTAATACTTGATTTCTGATTGCATAGCATTTGGTATCCTGACATTTGAAAACCTGACACTTGGAAACTTTTTCATACATTAACTTTTACATTAATTGACTTTCAGGAATCGAACCATATTTCAGTAGAGATGATAGGTCTACATATACCCACTGACCCAAACTGTGTGTAGCTAAGGAATAATCTTACTCCTGCCCAATGCATTTTTTTCAATCTGGCCTATCTTTAAGAAGATAAATGAATAAATTATATGGTCAGTTGGTTTCCAATATATCAGGGATGGCCAAACTGTAGCTTGTGAGCCACATGCAGCTCTTTTATTGTTACAGTGCTGCTCACAGATCCTCCCATGTTCCCCCATTCTCCACCTACCAGACTTGGGGGGAGGGGGGAGTTCGGGACCTCTGCCTTGCAGTGTGGTGGTGGGGTATGGGCTTCAGCCAAGCAGGGAGTGGGATCTCGGGGCTTCAGCTCCATGGGGCACATCTGCCGGGGCTCTGGGCTTCAGCAAGAGTGGGGCTGAAGCCCTGAGTCCTGGCAGGCACCTATCGCTGGGCTGAGGCCCTGAGCCTTGGCATGCTCCTCCTGTGGGGCTGAAGCTCCAAGCCCCAGTAGGCACCTCACGCGGAGCTGAAGTCCCGAGCCCCGTCAGGTGCTCCCCGGCTCTCAAACTTCTGAAGATTGTTATATGAGGTTCGGAGGGTCTGTAAGTTTGGCCACCCCTGCAATATATAGTATTGCACATTGACAGCATCATAAATGATTACATAATTTAAACTATTATTGAAGAATTCTTAGTTTCTCTATATACTCAGAAGTACCACATGACATACTAACTGCACATTCACACATGTCAATAATGAAAACATTTTTGAAGTATTCATGTAGTATATAAGAATTTCAAATAAAGCCTGCATAGGATTTTGATAGGGGTAGTCTGCCCTCTTAAGCGTAGTAGAGCCTAGGGATCAGTGAACCTTGTCCTCTGGTATGGTCCCTTTAAGATTTTGGGAGGTTTCATGTATGCAAGGACCTAGGAACTAGGAGACCGAAGACTAGAGAGGGAAGGGGTTCTAGGAATAAGTAGTGTTTTGGGGAGAAAAAGTGTTACTGTTTCTTTAATGGCCCAGGAGCCTTGCAGAGTATATGGGACAAGGCTCCCCTCTCTTCCAGCTAATTGGGATGAGCTTTGGGAAGGGGACCACCATATATGCTGCCTTCTCCCTCATAGCAGATGAATACCACCAGGAGGAGGTTGGACTGCTGAAGTCTCCCAAGTATAAAGGTAAAGAGACTGACTGGGGGAGAGGGGCCAGCAGGAGGAGAAGCTGGTTGAGTCCCTGGAGCTGACCTAATGTACAATCCAGCTGCAGGAGAGCTGGAAGGCACCTGCATTAAAGCAAAGCAGAATGACTGTTTAAAGTACAAGCTAGGTCCATCCAGGAGGAGAGCTGGAGAGAGGGGGCAGAAGGGCAGCAAACCAAAAGGACACGAGGGGATGCTCAAGGGCAATGCCCCATCATCAGGTTAAACACTACTTTCACGACTGTCCAAAAGGACCCATAATTTACATGCATCATAAATGAAAATTAATTTTTGTACAGTCTGTCTTCACCTAGAGAAACATATACATTATAATAAATCTCCACCGGTGGTGTAAACAATCAGATTATCCTCACTTACACAACCTTTATACCAAGATAGCTCTCCTGACTATACTACTATTACTCCAGTGTAAATGAGAGGAGAACCAAGATCATAGGTATTGCTTCCCCACTGATAATTTTATAAATACATATTTTATAAGGATTTTATAAAATTGTAGACTCTTCTTCAGTATTGCCAAATCCAAGCATTCCAATATCATGAATCAAGCCCTAAAAAAGTCATAACACTGGCTTTAAAATCATGATTTAAAAAAAAAAATTTTTTTTTTAAATTCTCTTCTGGTTTCTGAGCCATTATGGTGCACTTGCTTCTTGATTTTAAGCTTTCCTCCACAATCATGGCATCTAGAAACCTGCTGAGCTTTTCGTGCAGTCTGTTCCTTCCAGTAGATGGAGTTTTTAGAAAAATACAACAGATGTCACAAGATTTACAATAAAATCTCAAGATCTGGCAAAAGCTCTTCTTTCTCCTTCTCCATATAGCTAGTTGCTCTTTAAGTCCTTCCTTGCTTCTTCCCGTTTAATTCCTCCAAAATTCACCCTCTCTTTACTGTCCCCATTGCAGCAACCCCCGCAGAAACCATTGGTTATCTCACATCTTGATTCCTGTAATCTTCTGTTGTAGGACCTCACTGTCTCTCCTATCCCTTCCTCCTCCAGTCTATCCAAAATATCTCTATCAAAGTCCTCTTCCACCAATCTGTCCATATCACTCTGTCTCCATTGGCTTCCTGTATATTGCTGCATCAAGTTCAAGCTCCTCATCCTTACTTACCATGTCCAACATCATTTTCCTCCCATTCTATCATATATCTTTGGTCTTGTTTTCCCTCAGGGACACTTGTGCGTTCTGCATTCAATCCCTTTGCTTCCTCTATTCATCTTCTTTCCTCAGTCTAAGCTTCAAACCCAACATTCTGCCTCCTATGTCTAGAGCAACCTATCAGTTATTATCTGCTGAGCACCCAGACCTGCAGGAGGTTCAGCACTTCTGAAAATCAGGCTATTATTTGTAGATGTTTAAATATAGGAGCTTAACTTTAGACATTATTTTTAAAACAGAAAATGGCTTAGGTTTATAAACTTGACCTTTATACAAGGCTTGTGTGACAAATTGTGCATGGGGGGGGTGATTGGTTGCTTAATATCAAAAGGGTTCTAAAGGAATCAAGCAGGAAAAGCAAAATAATCACACAGATAAGAGTCCCCGAGGAAACAATGGGAGAGCTGTTTATTCTGGGATACACCTTTCTTGGCTCCACTCCAGCTGAAAATGATGTACTTTTCCCGAGGTTAAGCCTAGGCTCAAAGGAGGATCCTAAACTAGAATAAAACCCCAGTCCTAGAAAAGGGAGGGGATTAAGTGTGAATGGCCAGAGCATAACTATGTACTGTCAGGGAAGCAAGAAGACCCACAGAGACAGAGGGAGCATGCTGCTAGCAGGACAGTCTGCTTCTCCCAGCACAGGGATGGAGGTAATTAGACTATATGAAATGTACCAAAGCATGCAAGGAAAACGTAAGGGTTTGGTAAGAGGAAATATTCATATATTCAAAACATAAGCCTTTATTATTTTTACCCTTTGCTCCAGGTGCTTTATAATGTTGGGTGAATGAATAACTAATAGTTTTTTTTGAAAGTGCTATTTCTGTGTCCAAAGGGACATGGTTGGGTTATGGGTGCTGTGACCTGGAGATCCAGTCCCCAAGTGGTTGAACTGCTCAGAGAGAGGGTTGAAAATACATCCTCCTGTGTGTCTGTGAGCCTCTGTCTGTTTCTCTTCCAGTCTTGTTCTTTCTCATTTGTATGGATGCCCTGACTTCTCCTGTTGTAAAGAGTTTGGGGCTGCGCTGGAGACTGGGCTAGTGTCCTTAAGGCTGGCTCTGATCTTCTCGCAGTCTTTGTTCTCCAGACACACCTCTAGGATGAAATATCTATTTCCATATATGGTACAGAAATACCATACTAGTGACAAATACAGATACAGTGATAATAATTATTAAAGAGCACCGCCACACCTTTCACAGAGGGATCCAATCAATAATCCATTTATGAATACTATAAATAGAAATATTTTAGATACTTAAAATTATATATATATATATATATATACACACACTCTCAAGTAACTGATATATGTAGTATTTACAAGATACAATGCATGATAGTGTGGTGTGAAGTTTTTATCATCACTTGTTTAAAATGACCAGTATAAGGTATTTGTTGCCTCACCACTCTTGAGTACTACGGCCATCTCGAACTAATAAAATCTTTATAATGTATTATATCAGTACTTGTTTTGTTTGTGGGTGAGTGTTATATATGTGTACACAGGTATGTGTATAATATTTTACATATATTATATCCATATCCTGTGAATTAAACATTTAACTCTTGTGTACACCTGTTTTCCATTAAATGTTTTTTTGTAGTTTTGTTACCAGCATTGGGAGCAACTGATTTTTCTGGATACTTCTATAAAGTAGAATACAGCATTTCATGCTATTCACTCTCTCTCTCTCTCTCTCTCTCTCTCTTTTTGACATAGATGAAAGTACCTATTCAGTACAAGATATTGCTTTTTCAATATGCTATAACAAAGATGATCAGGGTAGATATTAACTCACACATCGAGTTTCTTTAGACACTGTCAGAGTTGATAGCTTTCACTCCCTGTGGCAACGCTCTTAAAAGGGTAGAATTTCCATAATTTCCAGGGCTCCTGCAAAATTCTAGTTCTGCAATAGGTTTTAGCTTTTGGAGAAACATAATTTCCTATACAATAAAGCCTGTAGATCACAACTGTGTATGGGTCTGTACAGTGCCACTTAACAGAGGCAAACATTACCAATAATTTTGTTGTTAATCCCTTCAGCAATAAATACAGTACTCCCATAATAAACCTTTCTGGAGCATTTGGTAATCTGTGGTAAAAAGTGCTGTCTTTGTATTCTGCCAAAGCTGTAATTCAAGTACTACCTTTTTTACCTCACCCTTTTCACCTCTGCATACCTCTTCTCTTGTTTTTTCTAAATCTTAAAAGCGAAAACTCTATAAGTAGAAAATGACTCCAATATATTGTCTCTGCACAAATTTACAGACCTGCACATAGTTACCTTTATGCACTTTGAGTAGTCCCATTGAAGTTAATGTGACTTCTTACAGTGCATAAAGTTAAGTACATGTGTAAATCTTTGCAGAATGGGCCTAACCTATCACTTAGTAGTTCTTTACTGAGACCAGCAGTGAGATATTTTCTTCTTTTGTTTATCTGATCCTACCATTCTAAAATACTTTTTTAAAAATGGAAAATCACTCTTTCGAGTGACTCTTCACTCTGTTTTGTACAGTACTAAGTATATTGATAGTGTTCAGTAAATAAAATAATGGAGTGCAATATTCAAACTTTGTTATTCAGTAGTAAACTGAAATATTTGTTTAGGTGTAAGGGTTATCTCTTAGGAACTGGGCTAAAATCTGTTATGTCCACCACAAGCGAAACAAATATGTTTACTCTGAACTGACTCACAGGTGAATAGTTGTTCTCATCTCAAACAGTCATAGGACTTGGTCAGGGAAAACCTCTGGGAGGTGGCTAAAAAGGAGATTTCTATGTCATACCTTTGGAAAATGGGGTTTAATATGAGATGAACAGAAAGCTGGGACCGTCTGCATGGAAGTCCTGTGCCTTCACAGTGGCTCTCAGTTCCTTATTCTCTGGAGCACAGCTTCAACAGAGTTATGCTCTCAAGGTTTCTGCAGTTGACTGCTACACTAGTGCCCCTTCTCCCCTTTAAGGGGAATCCTCACCCTGCGAGTGGGGTATGGAAATGTAAACAGCTTTTGGCTGTATACATGTCCACAGAGAATTCTGATGGGGGGCAGGAGGAAAAAATGTACATCTGCCACTCTGGACCTGCCCTGCTTGTTCTTCTGTGGTCCAAGCCTTCCTGTGGTGATACCAACCAGTATAAGAGGACCTATGCAAAGCCTGAGGGAAAGTGGAGGGAAATGCTGCCATGAACTTTACTGAGACCTCTTTCCATGCAGAGGAATTAAGTCCATGTATTCCCTTTTTGCACAGATTTCAGTAACACAATCAGACACACCATTTGGCACACGTGGTAGTCTCCTTTCATAAAGGGAACAAAAGGAATGTTCAAGGTCATAAGTGATGATGTTTTAGTGACATGGTCAATAATTGCCTTCTGTAAGCTTTATTCTAACCAGTGCTATTAGATGCTCTTTCATGAACACTGACTATAAATCCTCAAATTTATTTAAAAATTGTGAAAACAGCTGTTTTTCAACTTTTGAAAGTTACAAAAGAAATTATTTTATTTTTATTAGTTTTGTGCAAGGTCTGTTCTTTCTTTCTCATATACTGCATGATTTTTTTACCCCTTTACTAATTGAATTTGATTTTATTCCTTTGTTGGTTAATGAGTGAAGTAAATATACTGTTTAAATAAAGCTGTTACACACAGTACTTATTTCTCTCAATTATGTTTTCAAACCTCAATATCTTTTTGCAGGGACTCCTGAGGATTATCCACAATACTTCTGTATGAATCTTACAACAGCTGTACTCAGTCTCCTAAAGCCAATAAACAGGGATTTGCACCAGAAATTTGATTTGGTTATTAAGGTAATTTCAACTGAATTCTCATTTCCATACACTTGCGAAACTGCTTAGCAATAACATCTCTGGAGAAAATTGTGGATATGTTCTACCTTTTTACTTTTTTTTTTGGTAGAGAGTCAGTTAATAAACAAATCACTTCTAGTAAAAAAGTTAAGGTGCACTTTTGAAAAGGAACAATTTAGGGTTCATGATCCTTTACAAATATTTATTATTAATTTTTTTTATAGCTCAAGTAAAAAAAGTGCAACTTGTATGTTTGTTTTTTATCAATATAGTTGAGACAAAAGGGTTTATGCATTTTATATTTCACATTTTCCCACTTCATTTAAACTTTGTAAGTATATCTAATACAGGGGTCGGCAACGTTTGGCACGCGGCTCGCCAGGGTAAGCACCCTGGCGGGCCGGGCCGGTTTATTTACCTGCTGACGCGGCAGGTTCGGCCGATCGCGGCCCCCACTCGCCACGGTTCGCTGTCCCGGGCCAATGGGGGCGGCGAGAAGCGGTGTGGGCGAGGGATGTGCTGGCCGCAGCTTCCCGCCGCCCCCATTGGCCCGGGACGGCGAACCGCGACCAGTGGGGGCCGCGATTGGCCGAACCTGCCACGTCAGCTTGTAAATAAACTGGCCCGGCCCGCCAGGGTGCTTACCGTGGCGAGCCGCGTGCCAAACATTGCCGACCCCTGATCTAATATGTATACTTAGGAATATTAATTATAAAGATAATATTCATAATACTGAATACAGAGTCAGAAAAAACAATATATCATAGGAGAATTCAATATTTAGAGATGAAGGAGAACAAGGAAGCTCAGATCCAGATCCAGGAACTCAGTGCTGGCCTAACTGTGCTCCCAATGAAGTAAATGGGAGCAGAGTTAGGTCAACATTGAGTTCTTTTGACCATCCCACTCATAATGTATCGGTTCAAGCCCCTCTCTGTTTGTTTTTCTGTCCTTAATTTCAAAATGAGTCAGGATAACATTCAATAACTCAAATTAATTTGTTGATGTGGAACTAAATGCATACAAAAAATAACTGTGAAAACAAGAGTGGGTAGCCCCTGCAGTATCTTTGAAAAGTATTGTTATCTACAGTACTGAATTCCGTTTTAGAAAATGTGGGAAGATGGGTTTCAGTGTTGCTTTCTTTCCCCATTTGAAACTTAGAAGTAATGGAATAGGTAGTATTGATATTTATATATTCAAATATCTGCATGAAACCTCATAGATTAGTTTTACTCTGGGTGTACCCTAAAATATTTATGTTTTGCTTAAGAATATAGTGATAGCTGCCTAAAGGGAGCAACAAATATCATTTGCTTAAAAGATGTGGTTTTGTAATAAAGCAAAATTGTATTCTGTACATTTGGGATAATCCCTTAGGAGGTTGCCTAATGATGCAGAAAGTTGTAGAGGTTTTGCTGCATTTATTAGTAGGTATAGAAGCAAATAATGGGTTATGGAATGTAACAAATTGCAAATGTTTACTTTAATTTGTATGCTGAATCAGAGAGAATATTGTAGTGTCTGAGTCCAAGTTTAATACTGTAGCATTCTGGAAAAGGGTTGGCTGCCTCCTGTGCACCCCCTCATGGCCAGAGGTCACTCTGTAGTATACGGCTAACAATTTCTCAGGGCCCCTTAACTCTCAGGGCACAGGTAATAAATGGGACCCTGGGGGGAAACATTTTGAGTCCTTAGATACTGGCCCTCCAGGCCATAACTCCAATTCAGTCGCACTTTCCCTTTAAGTAGAGAGCCTGCAGCACTTTTCCCCAGAACTAGGTTCCAATTCAAAGCCTCTCTGGTTTTACCAGTGTGGAGCTCAGCCTTCTGGCTTCCAGGCCCCAAACTCTTCTCCCAGTTAAGATCTCAAGTAGGAACTGGACCCAGTAGTCCCAGGATTTACCTGGTTAACACTCAGCTTTCCTCAACCCTCTGGTTCTGGCTACCAGGCCCAAACTCTTCTCTCAGTCAGGGTCTCTAGCAGAAGCTCACTGCAGTGCCTCCCTTTCACAGCTCCCTTGACCTCAGGATCTTTCCTGCAGGAGCTTCCCTAAGTTTTCCCAGTCCCTTGCTAGTCTTCTGCTGCTCTTTCTAGGGCAGTCACCCTGGTCTCTCCCAGGTGTGGCTCATTCTGTAATCTGAGTTAGCTAGCTTCAGCCCTAAGGGAGTAAGCCATCCCTGGTAGGGTTACCATTCGTCCGGATTCTGCCGGACATGTCCGGCTTTTTTGAGTTAAAAATAGCGTCCGGGGGGAATTCGTAAATGTCCGGATTTCCCCCCAATGCAGAGAGCGCGTGGCTGACAGGGCAGCCGGCCGGATCGTGCCACTTGCATGGGGCTCCGAGAGCCAGAACCCCTCCTCCACTTCCCCCTCCTCTTCCCTGCAGCTTGAAATCACTCCCCTCCTCTCGCTCTCTCCCTCCCCCTCCCTGCATTCACAGATCGCCGGCCGGCCGTTCGCATCGGGCCTCCGGCAGTCTGGAGCTCCTCCCCCTGCTCCCCCC